TTAAAGCATTAGAATCAAACCAGTTATGTGTGAATTTTATTCTACTAGTTATAAACATCGTTAGATCTTCTATCTTATAAATATTAAAAAGAAACCTTGTGATTTTTATTTATTTTTAAGTGTTATTTTTATTATTATTTTACCTAATTGGTTTTTTATTTTAGTTTAGTTTTGAAATTATCGAAACTAACTAATTATAAAAAACAATGCATTGAATATATATACAAAATATTTTTATATTGAATATTGTATATATATTTTTTTAATTTACATTATTATAAATGATTCAATAACATAATTTCTAAATATTAAAAAACTAAAATTAATTTTTTTAATATTTGTGTTGGTCAACGCCGGTAAAACTGGTCAACGCCGGATTCCGGCGAAAAGTGTACCGAAAATAATGTTTGTGATGTTGGCGACATGACTACATATAGTTCGTATATGTGGACATGCAATACATATAGTTTGTGTAGTTAGAAATACATTTTTAAATTTCGGATGTGTGGCCATGTATTGTAGCATACTTCATGTAGCTGCGTATCTTTTTTCCTTTTTTTTTATATATATACTAGTTTCTACAAACAATTAATGTATAGTTTTAAATACAATCCCAACTACAACCGTAACTAGCTAGTTTTGGTATTTAATATTATGATATACATTTAAACCCACCTATAATATAATAAGAAAAAAACCAATAATGCTTGGGAAAAATATAATAATGTCAATTTGTCACATAGTCTTTATTTGTCTTGTTCATATATATCGATATTACATCTGAAAAATATTGATAGTATGCACAAGTTGCTATTTTAAAATTTTAAAATTGGGATAATCAGTAATGTATAAACATGGGCAATCATTGGAAAATGTTTGACACCTTAAACCGGATTAAATATATTTGTTGTATGATTTACTTTATTCTTATATAGATATTATGTGCATGTTCTTTTGTTCATTTGGATAATGCAAGTAAATCAGATAAATGTATTTAGATGTTGTTCGTTTCCTAGATAAAGCTATGCATCTTGATGATCATAGACTACCTTAAACGAACATCTCGTAGCTGCATATTGATGGTTTAGAAGCTAATGTCTTCATAAGATAATCGAATTATCTATGAATGGCTTAAAAGGAGATTGTCTTAGGTAACTCTTCACTTACTCCAAAAGTCGCTAATCTCTAAAATATTCCTCAACTTCTCAGTGGATATAATCACCTTTAAGATCTATCAAAGAAAAAATACAAACAAACGATAGATTTTAGTGTTGATTTGCCAAATAACATTCTAGCTTATATATATGCAAAACAAGAACCAATTAAAAATGTGTTTCTAAAGTTTTCCAAAGATATATTAATTACTCCAACATCACTTATAATGAAACAGAGGGAATATAAAGATTACACAAGATTTAAGAATTTCTTCACCTCGTTGGAATGTATTACAACCAAAGTGAAGTAGTAATCATGGGTTTTTGTAGATCAAAGGAACTCAACGGTTCCAACGGAAATAGTTGGTGATTGAGATATTATTTGTGATGAATAATTATAATAAATGTGTAGGACATGAATCCTAGTAAGCTTACTGTTGGAGTTATGCCTTTTCTACGTGTCTTGCATTAACCCTAAAACCCTATTTTTCTATCAATAATATTTGGCAGTAATACAAAATTCTACAGTAGTAACTAGTAATAATTCATTGTTAATGTAAGTGGTTTAAAGTTTCTTACACATATTATAAATGAAAACAATTAAAATACAGTTATTTTTTTCTATAGAAATTGAACTAATTACTTATGTAAACATCACTTGGTAATGACAGAGTCTTATTTACATGAACCAATCAAAAACCATAATATTGGATATTTCTTGTTTCAATATCATATGACATATGGATATTGTCAAGAGAATATCATATATGAAAACTCAAAGACTAAACATCTGATAGTGGTTGAAAAGTCCCCATCAATTTGTTGAATTTAAGAAAACATAATTTGATGAATCTAAAATATACTAAATGGCTTTTAATACTTTAATAGTAGATAATATATTATTACTTTTAATAATTAACCATCATTTTTTCATTAGAAAAAAATCAATACTCCCCTCAAATATACCCACCATATCAAGCACATACAAATATATATATAATGTTTGTTGATGAATTTTTTTAAAATTTTTTTTATAAAATGAACTTTGTCCAAGTAATAATAAGCCTATACTGGCTGAGGAAAGAACTCCCACCTATGGAATTTCAAAAATGTAATGATGAGGCATCATATAATATTTTACAAAACATGTTATTTCATATTGAAATGGGGATCTTCAGAACTATGAAGTGTGGATAATTTCTGCAAAAGCATTGCAATTTGTGCAACAAACCTACTTAGTTGGGCATACATATCCTTTCGGCCTGGTTTATAAATGTTTCATCAAATCTTTGGTTCGGGTACTAATGGCCGCAACGGCCCAAACGTATTTCAACTTTAACAGACTGACTAGTGCTTGAGTGTTCGTCCCTTACTAGAATAAGCACAATAATCATATATATAAAAGTAAGGTTTCACTCTCTCCTTATTGGTGGAAAAATATTTAAGGCTTTAATTTTCTTTTTAAAAATAAATAAATAAATCTTTATGACAATTAATCAATACAAAATTTAATTACATTATAAGTTATAATCAAATGGCAAAGAAAATGAAAGGACTTAATCATATATAATTCAACAAAATAAATAAATTAATTAATGTTTATGACAATCATTCAATACAAAATTTAATTACACTATAAGTTATGATCAAATGGTAAAGAAAATGAAAGGACTTAATCATATATTATTCAACAAAATAAATAAATAAATAAATGTTTATGACAATCATTCAATACAAAATTTAATTACACTATAAGTTATAATCAAATGGCAAAGAAAATGGAAGGACTTAATCATATATCATACAACAAATATTTATAAGGCTTATTGGTGGAAAATATTTAAAATCATATATATATATATATAAGTAAGGTTTCACTCTCTTTATTGTTCCATTTTGTATTTATTTTTTAAAATATAATATTTATTTTTAATTAACCAAAAAACATATTTAATCATATACATTAATTCATACTTTAAATTCACAC